TTCTTTAAAGGTAAATATAACATAAGCAAGAGTAAATGGATAGAATATGATCTTAATTAATAATTTAGCACAGATGAGGTTGAATGAAGTCAGATAAAGATATAAATAAAATTAACAATGCAATGAACAAACTATATGTCTGCAATGTAATAGACTGAAACTGGGGTTTGGGTGCTAATGTTGTTCTCTGAGACCCAAGAGGGTTGATCCTCAGGCTCCACAGAAGAATTCGAGTCAGGTTTCTGTGTATTCAGATTCTTTCAATGCTGGAATCACTGCTCTCCATATACAGAATGGAGGCACATGATGCTGGAAGGACTTAGGAGACATGGCAGAAAGGAGGACCCAAAGCAATGGCTGTTGATGAAGACTTGATAGGGGAAGGATGGATCAAAAGGGAAAGCTGGAAAGGGGGAGAAGCTCGTGAAATATGACCTCATGAAGGTCTGGTCTGTTACACTGGGGTTCATGGTGTTTCTCATCCATTTCCTCAGGACTTAGTGTTTATTTGTTTCTAGAAAAACAAACCCATCCTGATTATGCAATACTGGGTCGGCTGGTACAAGAAATGGGAGATAAGCAGTCTCTTCCAAGGGAGAAAGGTAAGAGTTTGCTGATGCTCTACTCCATGTAGAGATGCCTCTGAGTCACAGATTATGCACACAAGTCTCCACTAAATAATTCACTCATTCATTCAGAAATCGTTATCAATCTCCTGTTAATTGCCACCACTCAGTCCCTAAAGATAAGCCTTGTGAATATAAAGTACATCACACCTATCCTGAAGTTAGCTTATAATTTAGTGGTGCTAGAAGTTCATTAAAATGCAAAACAGTCAATAGTATATGGCTTCACATTATGCAGCTTTTTGAAATACTAAGGTAAAAAAAGAAATCTGCACAAAGCAAAATGGAAGTTTGTCTTAGACGGTCATATCTCCAGAGTAGATGATGGAATAGCACCCACCAAAACCAAAGACAAATGCGAAGAACATCCCAGTAAAATAACAACAGAAGACTAAATCAATAAACAACCTATTGCTAAAATGACAGAACAAAATTACCACCTGTTTGTTTTAACCTTAAATGTAAATGGCTTAAACTCATCCATCAAACATCATAGAGTAGTAGACTGGATTAAAAAGCAAAATCCATCTATTTTTTTTTTTTACCTACAGGAGGCACATTTCAACGACAAAGATCTGCAGAAACTCTCATGATTTTTTGTTTTTGTTTTTGTTAGTTTCATATCTTCAAAACACTTTCTTCTGATTAAATTTTTTTCACTGACTCATAGATCATACAGCAGCATCATTTTCTTCAAGAAGGTTCTTGATTTTCATTTCTTCAGTGACACATTAGTCATTCAGTAGCATGTTATTTAACTTCATGGCATTGTAAATTTCTATTTTTCTTCCTGTTGTTGATTTTGTATTGTGGCTTTTCATTTAAGGGGATGTATAATAACTCTATAATGGAGACTATTGCATCCAGATGTGAGGATAAAATGCAGTATATTTATTTCCAGATAAAAAAATGGACTCCCAATGAAACTGTTCACTATATCTAGGCAATGGAATGCTGGACTCTCTGCCATCGTCCATGCCCACAAAGATGGGCATGTGACAGTGTATGAAGAACTACAATATAGTAATAATATAGGACTAGTGGGAATGGGGTAAGGGAAATCCTAGAGTCTTTGGAACTGTATCATAAAATGATAATAATAATAATAATAAAATTAGATGGGAAAAAAACAACAGGACTCTTCCTTATGGTCTAGATTGGGATAACCAGAGAAGTCAGTCTAAAATAGTGATTATTCCTGAATTGTTAACCATCTGCACCATATTTGCTTGTTATAGCTATTTAAAAATGATTTTATTTTCAGGAAATACTTTTTCTCTCATAGTAGTCGTGTGCTAGCATACACAAGCATGTATGTGTGTGTAATTTTTAATGATATAAAATGTGTATCATACAACTTAAACAATAGTAAAATATAAAAATATTCTTTATTATAAAAAGATACCTTCCGCTAATTTCCAGTTTGTTCTGTTTTCTTGCCTCCATAGAGGTTGAGAGAACAGTGTTAGAATCCCTCAAGCATGACTTGTCCTTCCATGCATACATGTTCCATGGTGGGACCAACTTTGAAGCTGCATATGTTGATAAGCACAGGGGTGTCGTTATTAACCATGGCGAGTGTTTGCTGGCGTCGTCGCCTCCCCACACTGATGGGGTGGAATTTCTTAAAGAATGTCCTGCTAGTGTGCTGGGGTCTTGTAGCTTTAACCTATGATCTCTTAAGAAGTTTCAAGTCTGTCTTCCTGTTTTTTGTGATAGTTAACTATGCCCCACCAGTCTGTCGTTGTAGTGCAAAAGGCTGCCCTGGATTTATAGCTCTTGTTGTACACTCTCACAACTTACCTTCATTCTCTAAAAAATTAAGAAAGATGAGAGAGGATGGGAAAACGGGTGGGAGGGATGGTATGATGGGAAATATCGCTGTGCTCCCTAATCTAAATTTGATATACATGAACTTTTTTCTTATGTAAGTAGGATAGCTTAAAAACAAGAGGAGGAACACATAAGGATGGCTATTAGGCATAGAGAGCAGAGTCAGGAATTTCAGATTCAAGGATCGAAAGAATAAGAGGGTAAATTCGAGGGGTGGTTCCAATGTCATGGCATGTTCAGGTCCCCAGGAAGGTGGGGAGTCATTACGTGCCTAGCTTCAGCCTGGTATGGAACATTCTGCAGATAGGAGTATATGCCTCCCCTTTTGTCCCTTTCTGTGGTTTGAGACATGGTGTGTAGAGGTTACATGGCATATGACAGAACCCTGGGTGTCTTACAGACTATGGTGCTGTGCTGACAGAGGCTGGAGACTACACAGAGAAGTATTTCATCTTTCGAGAACTCCTTGGATCTGTCTCAGGTACCTCAGCAACCACCGCTTGGAGGCTGATCTTCCTCATGTGGCATTTTGTGGAACAGAGAAAGGGATGAGTTTGATGATGCTCTAGAGAATTAGGGCAACCTAGTGAAGTTGACCATGGTGTCCCACATCGAAATTGCAGTTTTTGCAGGAGCAAGTTCTAGTTCTAGTATCTTATTTGTTGCAATGAGACGTGGAAATAAAAATTTATCTTGTGGGTGAAGATTATACGAGCTCTTGTTTGTAAAGCTCTCAGTGCCATGTGTGACAGGGTTTAAACCCTTTACAGCACAAAACACACTCTGCTTAATTTTAATTATTTAAACATATTTAACCATGTAGTAATAGCTAGAAACTAGGTAAGGTAAGTATGGCACTGATGGAAAAAAAAAAAAAGTGAGCCAGACTTCTTCCTCCCATAGATCACTCACTCTAACAAGTTAATATTTTGTCATAGAGGACCTCATAATCTGCCTGGTGTGTGTAGGTTATAAACAACTGGACAGCTCTCAGTTATTGCCTGCGGACCATCATTGTTGGAGAACTGCATACACATTTCAGGATATTGTTCATGCCATTTATTGTCTTTGGGATATAACAGGTCACAGAGGGGTGGGAAGTGTTGGAGAAGATGGTGTTTGTTTCAGACACCTCTCATCCTGTGGCCCATTTTCATTGCAGAAACTCCACTGCCCCCACTACCTGAGAGTAAGCCCAAGGCTGTGTATCCTTCTGTGACAGTATTGTACTGCTTGCCCCTGTGGGAAATCCTCCTGTTGTTAAATGCTGTGAGTATGTTTGGCCATTGGAGAGAAGGGAAAAAAGGATTTACTACATTGATTGGGGATTCAATCAGGAAACTTTGCCTTAAAAACATGAAAACTGATCCTCTGCAGTCTGTCCAAGATTGGAACTGTGCACAAGAGCCACCAGCTCCTTCCATGTGGACGGTGAAGCAGTTTGAGCTTGAAGCACAAATGTGTGGGAAGAGGGATATCTGGGTAGTGGAAAATCTTGTTTTCTAGCTCAGGTGAACCTGTCTAGTGCATTCTGTTTTTTTGCACTGCATAATCCATGTAAGAAAAGTCCTGTGTTTCCCATTTCTGAATCCACGATACTGAGCCTCTGTCTTCACTGACAGTCTCTCAGGCCAATGAACTGTGGGTTTCTGCTCTCCCTTTCAAATAAGACTACATGTTTCCCCTGAAAAATGAGAGCTATTGAAAAAAAAAGTCTCTTGTTTAGATGGTGTTCAGCTCCACTGACATTAACTTGCTTAAAATGTACTCATTGTTATCGTTAAGATGCTAAATGAGTATTTGTGTTTTGATTGTCATTGCTTTAGAATGCAATTTACTATTTTGATCAATTCTGATAATTATTTGTGATTGTTCCCTGTTCACTGAGCACCCACCATCTCCTAACTCACCTTATCAGAGAGAATATAAAACACAAGCACATTTTCACATAGCATCAGTCCTTTTATTTTTTATTCAGAGCACCCTTGGGGACAAGTATATGGTAAAACAAAACAAAACAAAATGACAGAAGTCTTTGGATGAAGCATTCAGGCTTCTCATCATTTTGGCTCTTGCCATGTCTCCTGCACAGCCGGTCAAATCAAAGATGCCAGTCAATATGGAGAATCTTCCTATTAACAATGGAAGTGGACAGTCCTTTGGATTCATCCTCTATGAGAGTTCCGTTTGCACTGCAGGCCATCTGTATGTTCATGTTGAAGATACAGCACAGATGGTTATTTCTGAGTTGTTCTGGGTGGTTAGGATAAGGTCTGGCATACCTCTGTCATTGGGGGAAGGTATTTAGTTACTGGTCCATTTTACCACCATCTGATGATATTGACAGCATCTGAAATGCAGGGGACATTGGGGATACAAAGAGAAATCCTTTTACCTGAACAAACTAAATTTTGTTGCAACCTGATAACATTTTGTGAGCTCCTTCATAAAAACCTCTTTTTGCCTAAATAATAACCATTCTCCTCCCTTTCTGCATATGAACCTGTAAGTATGACATTGGTTTTTGTTTTCCAGGTGTTTCTGAATTATACATTAATAGGATTTCTAGATAAGAATAACCAGGAAGTGAAAATTCCTCAATCCACGGTATGTAATTACAGAGCCAGGAAATGCTCTCCTCAAATGCCAATATGACTGGGTACTCACACAGATTTTCACATTTCTCTTGACTACCCTTGGTGTCTCTCCTGCCTTGGGACCTTAGCTGGAAGAGTGAAGGGCTGTAAGTCTAAGGCAGCTACTAGGCCCAGGTCCATGAGGACCTATGTAGGTGTTTAAACACGAATCACATTTCCCTGTTTTGCCCTGAGTCAGTCATCAATCCCTGTTTGGATCTCTGATCAAAGGCAAGTCTTAGCCAGTCTTTCCTAATATGGGCAGCAGAGCAGAAAGGAAAGACTGAGCAACGAAGAACACAGTGGCGGCCTTATGACTAAGGGTCTACTTTGGGGTTCTGGGAACTTTTCTTTCATTGCTTATCCTTTTATCTACAATTCAGGGAAAAGTATGATCCATAGAACTTTGCTTGGTGGTGTAGTCTCCTCAAACTTCCCCGCCCCCTCCGAGCAGGACTGTCAGATTTCGAGGATTCTGGTGGAGAATGAAGGTTGAATCAAATTTTCATGGAAAATGCAGGAAGAAAATAAAGGTGGGCTCTCATCTTGAGAAGCAGGCTTTAGCTTCTCTTCAGTTACTTGAACGTAATATTGGGGTGCATTAGATTTGAGAGGAAGAAATTAACTCCACAGAAAGGAGATACTAATACCTCAGAATGCAAGTGACTTCTCATTGCTCTGGATTGCCTAGTTCTTCAGGGCAGGAGAGTGAAGCTGCTATTAAGTGCTGGCTTGTCGTATCATAAAGCCCAATCTCTTTTAGGGATTTGTAGGCAATGTTTCATACTAAATTGTGAACCCTAACTGCTTTAGCCATATAGACAAATGTTTTGGCATCTACATGCTTACATTTCTTTGCTCCACTCTAGAAAATGTCCATGCTTCTCTCACATTTCCTTTCCTGCCTTCAGGAATAGTTGGATATGTTCACATCAACGATGTTTTCCTGAATGATTTCACCATTTATTCTCTTGAGATGAAAATGGACTTCTTCAGTAAGTATGCTACTTATTTCCAATGGGTATTTTTAATGTCAGTTGTCTTACTTCACGTTCTTTTACTATAATGAAATCTTGAAAGCTAGATGTTTGTAAAGAAAATAATCCTGAAGATTATGGGTCTAGCCTAGAACTGACTAGTGAGGTACTCACGGTGCACAGCAGCATGTGTAGAAGAGACAAATAGAGAGTTGGATACCCAAGCTCATTGAAATAATCCACCTCATAGAACAAACATCAATTTCTTTAGACGATAATGATATCATCATGTAATAATCTCTCACTAGGACCCAGCTTTTAAAGATTGTTCCACTTTAAAATTGCACATTAGGGCCCAGCACGGTGGCGCAAGTGGTTAAGGTCCTTGCCTTGCACGCCCGGGATCCCATATGGGTGCCAGTTCTATCCCGGCAGCCCCGCTTCCCTTCCAGCTCCCTGCCTGTGGCCTGGGAAAGCAGTGGAGGACGGCCCAAGGCTTTGGGACCCTGCAGCCACGTGGGAAACCTGGAAGAGGCTCCTGGCTTTGGATCGGCATAGTATCGGCCGTTGCGGCTCACTTGGGGAGTGACTCATCGGATGGAAGATCTTCCTCTCTGTCTCTCCTCTCTGTATATCCGCCTTTCCAATAAAAAAAATAATTAAAAAAAATCTTTAAAATTGCACATTAGAGAACAAGATTCTAACACATGGAAAATTGGGGAAGAATGATATTCTTTTTCGTGCCTTCAAAGTTCATTATCATTGTCAAAATGTGAAGACATTCACCCCGTTTTAATACTGCCACAAATCTTAACTTGTTCCAGTATCAGTCAAAAGGGCAAAAGGAAGGATCCATTTGTGACTCATCTGATGGCAAACGCTTTCCATCTGTAAATAAAAAAGTACTTCTTGGGCATAATCATGAGATGGTGTGAAGATCAGGGCTCTTATTCCCAAAGAGAGAAATCAGAAGTAGAAAGGAGTCACAGGCTCCTAGCAAGACCAACGTGCAACAAGGCATACAGTGAAAATTAAGTCAAGTGTTCTATGCACACTGTGCTGAAAGGTGTGGCCTCAAGACCTCAGACAGCCCTACATCTGAGGACTTGCTGCTCTCAGCCCAAGTGGCTGATCTGTCCTGCTGGCTTTGTGTGCTAGTGCTTGTAGCTTTCCCAGAGCTGTGTTGCATGCTGCTGTTGGCTTTGATGTTCTAGGGTCTCGGTGCTGGCTATTCCTCTACCTGACTCCATTAAACATTCTGATGGACATTTTCATGCAGTGGCTCCCCTTTACTTTTTGTATCTGACAGGTCTCAGGCTTTTGTTGGGAAGCTTAGTGAAAGCTAGTATGTTCTCTAATACCCCTGCCTTGTGCAACTTCAGAGTTAACATCACATGAATGCTGTCACAATTTTATGCTCCCTTCCTTCAGAGTGGCACCAGGAGCCATGTCTGGCCATAGAATGCTTTGATGGACAACTGGGAGCCGATTGCTAAGATGGCCTTAGGCTGAGCATGAGGAGTGGCCTAGGCCTGCTTCCTGGAACTATGCATTCCTTGCAGGTCTCTGGGCCTGAGATGGGAGACACATGGGGATATTTCTGACATGACACCTGGGCTTTTGTCCCATTGTTTTGAAGTGAAGTGCCAGACTTCTTTGTATCTCATTTGCTTAGCAAAAAGCCTCTGGGTGAAACTTCTACATTTTTCCTCCACTCTTGTTAGCTAGCCTGAAAATGTTGTAATTTTTTACTGTTTTGCATTTGATTATGAATTTTGTCTTCAATTTGCATTTTTCCTCCAAAACATGGACTTCATTTGTTAGTGGAAATCAAGCAGCAGCTTGTACACTTTGTTGTACATAAATGTTCTCATCCAGTGTTTCATTAAATTCAGACTTCCAGGAAATCCATGGGCACGATTTAGCCAAATTCTTGCCGCATCAAGACAAGGATGCTCTTGTATTCTGGTTTATATTAATATTGCTAATTTCTACTGGGGACTTTGTCAGCATGATCTTTAATATTTTCTTCTATTCCATCACTACTAGTATGTGGTGAAAATCAGTTAACCAATCTTGAAGGTGTGAAAATTCTTCCCTGATCTTTTTTGTCTTCTGGGTCCATGTCAGCTCTCTCTGTGACTCCTTTAACAATACCTACCCTTTCTAGCCTATTCCAACAAAATGTTCCAAGACTACACATACACAATTTCAATGCTACTTCTGCATTTTCTGCTCTCTTTATAGTAATAACCCTAGGACTGGGTACTGATTTTCTAGCATAATCTGTTTTACTCTGCTGGGCAAAATGCCCAAAACAATTTTAAAGAAAGAGAACTGTTTGGGTCTCAGATCTGGATACCCAGGAGCATATGGTCTGGTGTGGTCTGGTCTGGTGAGGCCGTCATCATGGGAGGTGTTGGGACTCATATCCTCGAGGCTCCACTGCCTGGTGGGGGCAAATGCACACTATGGGTGCACAGCACTTCCTTTGCAAGTGAGGAGCCCAATATCCAAAGGGAAGACATAGATTCCAGTGATCATGTTTCAGAATGTGGAATTATACAGCAAGCACCCTTGTTGCACTCAGAATACTCCCCATCTCATTGAGAAAGAATCCTAGCCCTATATGGTAATCTAAGGGCAGTATTGAGATGAGAGCCAGAATGCTTTTTTCTTCCTCTCCTGTATTGGATGTTCCCAGGATCCGCTCTGCCACCTGGAGACCTGCTGCAAGTAATCCTCTGGGACCTGCTTTCTACAAGGGGATCTTGAAGGCTGGTTCTTCTCCCAAGGACACATTCCTGAGGCTCCCGGTAAGCAGGCCCACCTCTTATCTTCAAGCACCAGCACACGTGTGTGTGTGTGTGTGTGTGTGTGTGTAAATCATCTCAAAGCAAAACCATAGGGTTTCTGGTGGGAATCCTTCCCCCTTCCCTTTCTACTTTCTTTTTCTTCCTCTCTTCTAATCTTTTTGGAACTGTAATCTATGGAATGCATGAACTTTTTATATTGATAAAATTTATAAATATGAGAAACTAAAACAAAAAGGGAGATGAGTTTAAAAAATGTTCTTCTTTAAATCCTTAATGTTTCCCCTAATCTCTAGCTCTGAGATCGTAACACTGCCTACAGTTTTTTTATGTGCAATTTTCCCTAAACACAGCACACGCACACACTTTTCTCTCTAGAATGATACCATAAATTACACTCTTCAACTTGCTATTGTTTGGAGAGGAGAGCGTATCTTCTAGATATAAACAAATACAGAAATATAAATCTAGAAAATGTGAGGGAACTGATCCACAAATTATCCGACTAGATTCTCGTTGAGTAAAAAAAGAAATTGTTAGCATTCCTTACTATTGCTGACTTCTTTTCTCCAAAGCTAACTACCAACTTAAATCCTAAACTCCAGCTCAGCACTTTTTAAAATTAAATCATAAGCATGAATTCTTTTATAATATGCTATTTAATATATTGATTTTGCTTTGTGATGATTTGCTAAATTTTAGGGAATAGTTAATGAAGTTATTTCAACAGTGTATTTTGTGAGAAAGGTCAATTCATTTTTTCAAGGTTAAAGTTTTATTTAATTATTTATTTATTATTTTCTGCTTTTGTCAAGGCTTATTTATTATTTTCTGTTTTCAAGTTAAAGTTTTATTTATTTACTATTATTTCTGTTTTCAGGTTTCTTTTGAAAAATGCAATTGTGAATTTTCTTATATATTTCAAAAGTTTTATTTATATAAATTGAAAAAAAATCAGATATTTCACAATATAGATTTAGGAGTGCAGTAGAACTTCCCACCTACCCCTCCTTGTGTTTTCCACCTGCCCTCCTCCTTACTTCTTTAATTTTCCTTAATTTTTACCTTGTCATACTTTCATTTAACTTCACAATCGCAGGTTTAACACTACTTTAAGTAAAGATATCAAAAGCCTGTCAAGACTGAAATTCTGCAGTTTGATGATTGCTTACAGACTGCATTTCTCTATCCTGCTGATGAATGGTAGGATGTTTGGCCATTCCTGAAAGTGTGTTGGAGTTCATGAATCTTTTTAGATATAATAATCTACACATGTTAGTGTAATTTTAATTTCAATTTTATTTAATGTTATTAATTTTAGTCAATGTTCATATTCAATAAATAAAATTCTGCACACATACTGATATTGTTGAACTTAGTTGGTTGTAGCAATGTGGGTTAATTTCTGAGATCTTTGGTCCATTGGTCTGTGAGTGACTTCCACCAGTGGCAGGCTTTTTTGGTTACAAATGCACCATAATACATCTTGAAGTCTGGTGTTTTAATGAGCCTTGCTTTCTTTTCATTGTTGTTCTACCTACTTTGGATATCTATGATGCAAAGTGAATTTTAACATCATTTTTTCTGGAAATGCAAATGATGCCACAGGTATTTTGATTGGGCTTGCTTTGGTTCTTATGACAGTACGGAAAGATTCAATTCCTACCAATCCATGAATATGGGATATTTTTGTAGTATTTGATGTCTTAGTCTAATTCCTCATTTAACATTTTACAATTTTCATTGTGGAGGTCTCTGTCATCCTTGGTTTAACTTATTTGGAGATATTTTTTCAGCCACTTTATGTGGAACTGATCTTAAAAGTTTTTCACCATGGAATTATTTTTGTATACAGAAGTTACTTTTTTTGTGTGCTGATTTATATCCTCCAAGTTTACTAATCTTTCTTATAAGTGATCCTATATTTTCTTAGAAGAGGTGGTTTTTTTTTTTTCCGCTCTCATATAGAGAATCATGTCATCTGAAAATGGGAAAATGCTGGCTTGCTCCTTGACATTTGTATCAGCTGAATTTGTTTTTCTGGCCCAATGGATCTGGCTAAGACCTTCAGAACTGTCCTGAATAGCAGGGATGAACATTGGTTCTGGATATTAGCAGAAATGCTTCCATACCTTCCCCCTTTCAGTATGACATTGGCATTTTATGTTTTTCATGTATTGCCTTGATTGTGTGGAGAAATGTTCTTTATATATCCAATTGGCTTAAGTTTTTTTTTTTAATCATAGAGGATTGTTCTATTTTACCAAATGTGTCCTCTGTATTTATTGAGATAATTATATGGTTTTGTTTTCCAGCTTCTTAATTAATGTTCTAACTATTGATTTGCATATGCTGGATTATTCCTGGATATCAGAGATAAATCCCACTTGCTCTCAGTGAATGACCTTTCTGATGTGTTGCTGGATTCAATTAGCTAGAATTTTGTTGATAGTTTTTACACTTACGTTTATCAAGGATATTTTTTCTTTGTTGTATATTTTTCAGTTTTTAGAATTAATATCATGGGAGTTTGAGAGGATTTACTGCCTGTCAGTTGTTTGTAATAGTTTGAGAAGAACTACAGTCATTTCTTTTTGTAAAGTTTGGTGAAATTCAGCCATATGGTACTAGCCTTTTCCTTGTTGGGAGGTTCTCTGTTACTGATCCAGTATCTGCCCTAATAATTTGTTTACTTGGCTTTTCTATGGCATGCTGACCTAATTTAGGTAGATTTTATGTGTTCAGAAATTTGTTCATTTTCAGTATTTTCCAATTTGCTGACAGAAAGCTGCTTGTAGCAATTCCTAATGATTCTTTTAATTATCTATAATGTTTGTTGTTATATCTCCTTTTATATCTCATCTTTTATTTGTATGTGTTGCCAGTCTCTTTATTGGGTTTGTTGGGCCAATGGTGCATCTATTTTGCTCATGTATATTTAAAAAATAGTGAATTCACTGGTGTTATGTATACTTTTTATTTCAATTTGGTTTATTCTTTAATCTCAATTATTTTTCTTTTACCTGATTTAGGGCTTGATTTATTGTTTTCATGATCTTTGGAATGCAGGAATAATTCATTTGATGCCTTTCTGATTTCTTTTTAAAATATATTTGTTTTATTATTTTTTTAATTTCATTTTATGACACAGTTTCATAGGCTCTGGGATTCCCCCAACCCCTCATCATGCCCTCCCCCCATGTTGGATTCCTCCACATTGTTGCATTACTATAGCTATTGTCCAGTCATGATTCCTTCATTGTGGGCAAGGCCCATGCAGAAAGTCCGGCATCTTATTGTCCAGATAAATTCAACAGTTTCCTTGGGAGACCATCTCTGGTCTGAAAGTAGAGTTGGCAGAATATCATGTTTAAGATGTTGTCGTGTTCATTCTTGTATCCTTGTTAGTGAAGAGTGTTCCTTGTTTAGCAAACAGGTATTTCTTGCTGGTCTGTGTCTTTAGATTGGCTTATTTAATATTCAACTGGGTTCTATACACCTCAAAATGGCTATAGATTATTATTCAGGTGTCTCATGTCTATTTTCATTTTAGTATTTAGCTGTGACAGGGCCTTGTGGGTGCAGATTTGACTCACTTGACATTAGCCTTTGATTGTTTGCATGGCCTTATGCTACAGAGCCTTAGGATGAGGACAGCCTTGTGTTACTGACTGTCCTTAGAGCAGAGGGTGATAGAACTGGCAGGCAAGGAGGTGCCTGGCAATCACCTAGTTTGGCCCTAGGGGAGCAACCAGGTTGGAAAGGCCTGGGGTCACAGAGACCCAGGAGAGTGGGACTAGCAGCAGAGTTGCTGGTTTGTGATCAGCCCTGCAAGGAAGCAGGCCATTGGCTGAGGCCGCCTGACCCTATAGCAGGGAAAGGCCAATGGCATGGGCAGGCCTGAGGATGACGGGCATCTGAACTGGACTGACCCTGAAGGGTCAGTCAGGGAGGAGGTGGGATGCCATTTTATGATGTGGGGACTCTGGCCAAGCAGATCTGGCCCTGGAGCAGTTGGCAGGTGTCCAGGCAGGCAGCCTGATGTGCTACTCACTGGCCAAGCCAACCTGTGCCTTTTGCAGTAGCCACAGCGGGAACACTAAAGGTTTGCTGGTTCAGGGATGCTGGTGGAGCCAGCGTGGCCCTGGATCAGGTGTCGGGCAGTGGGTGACTGTGGGAGCTGGGTGGGGGTGGTCACTGCAGATGGCGCCTTGCTGTGGGACAGCTGCCATGGGGGCTGGTGGCCTGGGTTCAATGGGATGCCAGCCAAACCTTAGTGGCACTGGAGAAGGTGGTAAACTGGGAGTGCAGAAGGCTCAGCCAGAACTGCTTTGGCACTTTAATGGCAGGCGGGGCAGCAGGATGGACATGTTTTCGTGTGGGACATTCAGCTATGGGCTGGTGCTACAGGGTCACCATGTAGAATGGGGCCAGCCTTCAGTGCCTAGTGGGCCAGCAGCCCACTGAGGGAGCGGGGTCATTGGCAGAGCCCACCTGTTCCTGAAGTAGCTGCTGGGGCACCAGCTGAGCCGCATGACTCCAGAGCAAACTGGCAGGCAGCCTGGAACACAGGGGTATCAGAGTGCTGACCTAGCTCTTGAGTGTACAATGGTTGGTGGGGGTTACACGCTGAATTGGAATGGCCCTGAAGGAGTCAGTGGGGTGGTGGGGCAGACAGACTAGAGGTGAGTGCGGTACTGGCTGAGCACATTTGGACCTGGAGCAACTTCCAGGCAGGCTCAGAAGTCAAGGGATGTCAACAAACAGGCCTGGGCCTAGAGTGGACCATGGGCGGGGGTGCAGGGGCACCTGCTGAGCCAGAATGGCCCTAGAGCAGTGGGTGTTGTGGTGGGGCAGGTGGTCTCTAGGAGTGTGAGAGACTCCGGCCTAGCCCACATGGTCCTGGAACAGCTGGTGGGGCAGCTGGGTAGGCAGGCTAGAGGCTCAGAATTTGCAGCCTGAGCAGGCCTTTGCCTGCCTGGTGGCCATGTTAAGGATACTAGA